CGCTACTAGAAAGAAGAGTAGCTGGGTCGGGTTATGGGGTGGGTTAGTATGGTCCGGGTATATAAAATTTGGGTTGGATCTCTTTAATCCTGAAATGCCACATGGCATTCCGTCCAAATTAGGGGTATTTTTGAACCAAAAGTATAACGGTAGGGGTACAAACACACTGATAGTGAATCGGAGGGCAAGTTCAAACCATTTTCGATAGTAGAAGGGTATATTTGGCTCTTTTCCGTTCGATATATGAACCTTGAACCAGGTTACTTGTACGAGAGTGTTAAGAGATATACATTATCCCGTAGTGTCATGCGGGTTTATCATAATACTGAGCTACTCCATGCATGATAGGTTTTGAGTTGGATGATTAAATTCATTTTCCGTGAGATTCCTGGAGAAGTTAGAGAAGGCACTGATAATGTGAACTTAAAAAGTATGATGAGGTCTCCCTTTCTTCATTGAATGACGTTAAGTTTGCTTAACTCTCACGAAGATGCTAGAATTAAATAGTTGTTCAGCGAGTAATAGTCTGGTTTAAAGTGTTTAGCTGATTTTAAATACACAAAGTTCGAAGACTAGTTGAAAGGCTGAGTCTGGTGTTTGAGACATAATATAACTAAGTAATTAAAAGTGTGATATCTCTAACAGTTTAAGCTTATTCTTGGTCACGGTCACACTTATCATGATATCATAACGAGCACATCTCTTGTGTTCAAATCTCACTGCCACAAAATATATATAAATAATATTGCCACTGTGTTTTGCCTATGAAAAAGAATCAGGTCACACATGAGGGGATATAATATAATTAAGTACTAATTAAAGGGAAAAGGGTTAAATTTGCTCCACTACTATGCGAAAAGGATCAACTTTGCCCTCTGTTGTACTATTTGTTCAAAAATACCCTTGTTGTTACCCAAGTGGTTCAAATATACCCCTCCTCCGTTAGAGCAGTCCAAGGTGGACATTCAACACCACATGACACTAACATTTCGGTGAAAGGACACGACATGGCATGCCATGTCACCATGCCCATCCCATTTTACCCTGCCCCACTTCACTTCTTCTTCCATCATTAGAACCTCCTCCCCTCCACCACAACTGCCACCATCAATACCCCATGACCACCAATATTTTCACCGGTCACTCTCCAGCTCTTTCAACCATAGCAACGGTTTTGAAGAGTAAAGTGAATAGAGAAGGTGTTGTCTGCTTTTAGACTAATTTCTTGATGTGAACGCCGTCCCTATACAAGAGCAGGTCTTAAAGTTTCTTGAAGCTAAGAGTCCTGGCATGTCTCCTTCAATGTTATTTCAAGACTTTGTACCCTTATTTATGTTTCTGGTTTCGTTGTCTGATGTAATTTCGTTCTCTGTACCCTTTTTAATTCCATCTCTTTTCGTCTTCCATGACCTTGAGGAACTTAATCAATTTTCTTTTTTGCTTTTGAAGAATACTTTTTGCGTTCACCTTCATGGGTCTATTATTTCAACTTTAGCCAATTAATTAAAACGATCTAGTACTAACCAATTTTTTTAGTACGAACCAGCTTGAACTTCTTTTATCCTATAAAGCATATGAACCGTGCAATTAATTTCAAACTTGGTATTCTTGAAAACAAATTCACTTAAAAAAACCTCGAAGAATTACAAAGGTGAAAGATTTCATCTGCGCAAAGTGGTGGATCCATATGCCAAAGATGGTACTGAGCCGCGAAATATTATATGTATATGTTACGGTTACAGTGGGGGAGAAGCGGAGAGGATAGGGTAAAATTGGTTTGGAGCGGTGACTTGGCATGCCATGCGGTGTCCATTTCACTAAAATGCCAGTGTCATGTGGGATTGGGTGTCCATCTTGGACAACCCTAACGGAGGAAGGGTATATTTAAACCACTGGGGTAATGGCAGGGGTACTTTTGGGTGGATAGTATAACGGAGGGCAAAGTTGATCCATTTCGTATAGTAGAGGGGTAAATTTGGACCTTTCCCCCAATTAAAACTTAAAAGTGTGTTCTCCATAGCAGCTTAAGCTTTTAGATAAGATGGTCACACTTACATAGGGTGGTTCTACTCTATAACGTGGAGAAACACAGATAATGAGGACCTTATACTCTATATGAGCTTGGAATTGTATTTTTTTTATCTTTCATAAGCCATTTAAGATTTGGGAAAAATTTGAAAACCAATNTGTTGTATGTGTGTTTTAGTGTCGTGGCTCACCTGATTTCTGTCACAATTTTTTGGCATGCAAAGGTTGCCATTGGTAGGAGGTTTGGTATTGAAGAACCCCAGCTTATGAAGATTATAAGGGCCACACTCTATACACACAGTGAGTGGTTCAAACTTCAAATGTGTAAAGATCGCTTTGAAGGACTCTTAAGGATCGACGCCCTGAAAGAATTTGGTGGCAACTTGATTATAGATGCTGCTTCCAAATTGGATGTTGACATGAGCGCTGATGGATCATCTCAAGTTACTGGTTCCTCAAATAATAGGAAACAAGAAGATCGAAGTCCAACCCAGTCATCAGCCAGAGATGTTGGATGTGATGAAAGTGCAATACTAAAAGTTATGGTGAGTTTTGTTCTGGTTTACAAGTTTGGTTATAACTTTAACCTTGTTATTGCATCTCGATGAACCTGTTGTAGAAGCCCTTCTTGTTGATGTTATTGTACCGATGTGTTTCTCCCCTGTCACCATGTGCTTGCTTGAATCAGCAGATTATGTTAATTTTCTAGGTGTTCTCATTATATGCCATTTTAGCAGGTTTTCGGTGCAACTGTTACTTATTTGTGAATATTTGGTGCAGGAATTTCTGGCTTTGCCCAGAGCGGATGCAATTCATCTCCTTGCACAATACAACGGTAATGCGGAGACAGTCATTCAGCAGATATTTGCGTAGTTCCTAGATTATAGTGGAGCAGTGATATTCGTTTATTTTTTACGTTTATTTTATTGTACCATAAATTCTTACCTGTGAGGCTTATTACTGGCTGAAAGGGGAGGATGTAATAACTTATAAAAGGGAAGGGGGATGTCCTTATATGTAGTCTTTCCACGTCAAGTTTGAAATTGGTTGATGAGAGGCACATTGGTTATGCGAAGATCTCTGTAAATACCCGTCCATAAATGAGCTTAAACTGCGTCTGTCGCCATATTTACTTGGATGGAGCAATCCAGGGGATCAAGAAGTTGAATCTCTTATTGTTCCGACGAAATGCTCTAAATTACGGAATCTTATAGATTACTTCTTTTTATTGTGCCTTTACTGTTGCAATATTTGTTTGTACTTTGTGTCTATATCAAGTTTAGTTATCTTTGCTTTCGGAGTTTAGTCAGTAGTCAAGAATCGAGGAGAAACTTAGGTAATTAAAATTCAAGTAAACAAATGATGACATATGGGAAAGTTTTGCCCTCTTGCGATATTGGCTGATCATGTAGAATGATATGCTACTAAAGGAATGTAAGCTGTAATTCCACCAACACATACAGAAAAAGGGAATGGCAAAATAGGAACATTATTGAACTGAAATAAATAAGCTATTCACGCCGCAGGCTGCAGCAATAAATAGGATGACAATACAATGGCATTTAGACCAACCGGCTACCGGCATTGAACTCGCGTAATTTTCTCTCGTCCGACAGTATCTTCGCAAACCTGCAAGATTTTAAAACGAGACAAGGGTCACTAATTAGTATTTTATCAGCAGTTCTTTCTTGTAAAGTTTGTGTGTGTGTGTGTGTGTGTGTGTGTGTTCAACAATTCAACTGTAAATGGCATAGACATGTATCCACGCCCCTGCGCGTGTACCTCTGAAGAGCTTCCTTGTTGGTTCCTCCATTTTCAACTGCTTCATAAACTCCTTTGTCCAAGTTAATCTTTGAAACTGGTTTTTCCAGCAGGTGTTCTCCAACCTTGACGAGGCCTTGTAAGTTTTCCTTTGTGGCTATGTCAACTGAGGCCAAGTTCCCCGTCAAGGTGTCATCCTGGTTTCACCCAAATGTTGTATCAAGTAAATTTAAAGTTATATAGCCAATGGCAACAAATTATAGCTGCTGATCAGAGTCAAACCAAAGGCTCGGGTTTACCTGGATACGAAGGTACTTATCGTCCGAGTGAAGAGCTTTGAAAACCACAAAGTTGTGAAAATCAACCATATCAGCGCTTGCTTGATTAAAAGCATCTATAATTGGTGTAGAGTTGTCATTAAAAAGCCAGCTAAGTAATCCCCACTTGGCAGCCATTTGGGCATTGTATTTGTGCTCGTTCTTTGCATTGCCTGTCCCAAGTGATATTACCAGAAAGCGACCATAATCCATTGGCTTGATAGGGAATAAGTCTGCGTGCTGCATCAATACTTGCTTGGTCACCTCACCAATTGCGACCAATGTCTAAAATTCATCACATACATCAATAAAGAGTCAATTATTACCAAATTTTCTACTCTGAAGTACTGATCCAAGAAATTTATTTACTATGTCATGGATCTTATATACTTACTGGGTTATTAGCAGCGACACCACCATCAATTAGGTTGAATTCTCGTTCATTATCTTGAGCATCCTTGTTCTTGAAACCATAGGCAGGTAGAAAAGTTGGTGCTGCCGAGGTACTAATACAAATGTCCGCCAGTTCGGCATCCAAATCAGGTTTCAAGATTGCCTACAAGAGGGTTAAAATAGTTAAGTACTCAACTTATGTACACACACACACAATTTTAAAACACTATCATTGTATTGTTATAGCAGGTCAACTGCCTCATTTTCAAAATAGTTAATTATCTGTGATTTGATAGGGTAAAAGATTCTTGCACACTACTATTAGCGTATAGAAGTCCCTAATAAAATCACATCCAAAGGGGACAAAAAGAAACAAAAGGAGGATTGAATCGAGGTATAAAAGGTGCACCTCATATGAGCTGAAAATAACTGGCTGAAGTTTCTTGATGTCAAAAGTTGGAATTACGACGGCAGTTAATGTATCATGCAACCTGGTACCTCCTAAGATACCCTTTATAAGTTTGTGAAGATATTTCCCGTCATATTTAGGTCCTCCCATTGCTTTGGTTAGATTTATGATCCCCGCTAATGGTCCACTGCAATAATAAACAAAAATCAAGATATGTTCATATTTAGCCTGGCGAGAGGTGACGTTATATTAATTACCAAACGTTCCGCGAAAGAATTTGAGTATTCAATTTAGAACAAAATACGGACAAGTATATTCTCTAATACAAAATTACCTGATCTGGGGAAAGATTTTGGGGGAGTGCTCAAGATAAAATGGAGTAATATCTTTGGCAGCGTATAAAGGGCGTTTATCTTTGTTTGGTGCAGCTAACATTGCTGTTACTAGGCCACCAGTGCTTGTTCCTGCAATCAAGTCAAAATAATCCGCGATTCTTGCATCTTTACCGTCCAACTCCTGCAAACAAAATGAATACAATAAGAGACAAAGCTAGTACTTTAACTTGAACGTTTCAACCTTTAAGGTTTTTATTATTGAACTCACATGACACGTTAAAAGTTATTATAGGTTCAGAATTTAAATATTTGTTGAAATTTCAGTAATTTAACATAGCCAAAAAATCCTTATAGTTGTACTCTTGAAACTTTTTATTACTACTAAATTTGCTAATTACCTGTAGTTGTGATTCAAGATATGAAAGGATAACCCCCGGAATGATTCCTCTTATTCCTCCCCCATCGATGGTCAGAATGGTTATCAGCGTCCCTGTGTTGGGAGGCGGCATTGCAACTCGAGATGATCCAGCTGCTTCGTTTTCCATTGGCGTACGTGTATATTCAACGAAGAGATAATTAACGTAAACTAGGATGTATAAAGCGAGTTAATTAGTTCATCGTCATGTGCTAATCATAATGCGAATAAATATATAGAACGTGCAGTCATTTCAAAGACGATAATCATGAATAAAAAACCGATAAATTAAAGAGAAAAAAAATTAATAATGGCTTTGTCAGCCACTACAAGAGGATAAACAAATTTGGTCTTTGAAGAGTTCATGGAAACTAAGATTTTAATTTTATGATAATCATCGTGAAAGCCACCATCCTGAATAGATTAATTTGTTGTGGTAGTTCCGCTGTCCAACAATTTAGACTTGAAAGATTAAGTGTTGGAGAATGTATTGAGTTTACATTAAATACTAGTTAAGAACTGTAGTGTTAAGTTTCTTGAGCGTCTAAGTGTTACCAACATCTAATTAATTCAATAAGAACCATCATCATTAGACGCTAGTTTTAGCATGATTTTATTTTGACTTTGCTAATCTTTTCTATTTTACATCCCGACTTCACTCGAAAAATTAAGCCAAAAAAAGAAAAATAGAAACAAAAGAGAAGGTTTCTTCCTAGGATAATTTTTGGTGGGATCTATATATTGGGGATTTTTTATGACCTTTTAGGTATGTTCTATTTCTCCTTCCAACTAACAAATTTTCAATGTTCTTGCGGTCCTTCTTTGGATCTATAGCCTAATATACGGGCACGTGAATCCATAGACTCTCCGTCAAACTAAGTACTTTATGTATATATTTTTTGAAATTGATCTAATATTATGTACTCATGCTCCCAAAAAATTAAATAATTCACTTGGTCGAATGCTAAGTTATTTACCTAAAGGAATGAGAATCAAATCTCATTTAATACTTTCTTTTTTCTCCTTTCTTTAATGGTGCACCCGTATTAGAAAAACATTCTAGACCCGTCTCTAATGTCAACGTATTTATTTTCTGAAGGTTCTAACTTCTGAGATTAGTCATACGAAGGGAAGTATATGTTGCTTCATATTTTAATATACAAACGTGTCGTGCCTAGTTTTTTAGTTTCTTTCTGATATACTTTGCACGCTACTGCCTGTTTGCCTTTGACATATTTCTAATACTCCGTCCCTGGCCTTAATTAATTCCCATTTCTCGTTTTTCTTTCGTGTTAGATTAGTTAGTGTTGATGGATTAATTTTTGGACAAGGATTAGAAGAAGGTGAAAGTATTTTTAAATCTTTGGTTTAAAATATTTGAGGGAAATTTTGGAGAAAAATCAAAGTTTGGCTATAACATTAATAGTCATAGATAGGAAACCAAATTGGCAGCCCGAAACTATATTTGTTTTTTCAATCTTTTTTTTCTTAAAAATGTTTTATTTTATTTTATATTTTTTATATGGGCCCCGCCTAAATTCAATTTTTCTATCGGGAAGTCTCACATTGGAGATGAATATTTTATTTTATTTTATTAAAATCATTTTTTCCTTTTTAAAACGGTTTTTGAATTCAAAAAGGAGAATGTTTATTTAAAGAAGTGCTTGTTCAGAAAGAGTTGAGTCTGTTCAATTCAACAGACGTTTAAGGTGCTAATATAATAATTTTTACCAATCTATACTACTTATTTACTCTTTATAGAGAAGTTATTATTTGATTATATTAGTATATACAATTTATCATTTATATTCAAAATAATATATTAGACTCCAATCTTACCTATTTTAGGCTTTAATCTTCTCTATTTTTCTTCTCCGTATAGATATTTCTCTCTCAATTTTTCTTCGATTCGGTTTTTGCAGATGAACATGCTCGAAGCTTTGAAGAATAATAAAAAGAATGATTCCACTGGTTCAAAGAGAATATATACGTGAAGCACCAACACAATTTGGTTACCAGAAGTTTTTTAGATGAATAAGCAAGATATTATCTACGGAAGTGGCACTTGGAACTAAACTGAAACTAATTGACAGTATAATTAAAACTAAAATAAATTAGACTGTGTATACATGAACTTAAACTCGATTGATAGCCATTAGAAAGCTTAGAAGCTATGAATTCGATTGGGTACAAATGATTGAGAATATCCTTTGGAGTTTATATCTCAATTTTGAGAGAATTTGGTGAAGATTCGAGGTGGTTTTGGTTGGAATTTCAAATTCAAACTCGAAGAAAAAAACAAACAAATTGTATATATTTTATATGTTGGGTGTAGAACGTCATACAAAATATACATAATTGTATACAAATTGTATATAAATTATATATAATTTATAGTTTTTGACCGGATTCCGTATAAAAAACTGTATTTAAATTGTAGATAAATATTAGATTTTGACCGGGTTTATATATATTTTGTAAAAAAATTTAGTTACTTTCTGTAAATAGACAAACTTAGATAAATCAGATAAATAAAGTTAAAATCTCGTATATATATACAGGAAAAAGTCCCTGTGCTTCTCCAAAACGAATACAATATCATCAG